GTAATGTATTTTTAATAAGCAGGTACTACTAAGAATTAAAACTAAGTTTGGGAGGGGCAACTCACCCATTTCAGTGATTTCTAAATGGTTATCCCCAAATTATTTCTCATTAAAGCCCAATTATCTCTCACTATGCTATACTATCACCAGGTCCCCAATTGTAAATTATAAATCAGGCAAGTTGCTTTGAGTCAAGCCCCTTGGAGCAGCATTGGTATGAGGATTACAAGCCACCAATGAAAACTACCACAAGGACTGGGGCTGGGGCGGAGGACACCAAGTGGGACATAATCTGACAGTACCCGGCGAGAAGTCCCGCCTCCACCATGCTTCCCACACAGACACTGGGATGTGGATTATATTTCATATTTGACCGAAATGCTTCCTCCTCTTCCTCTCCAGACATGAGCAGTTGTTTAATTGGGGTCACCATCCCAAACAAAAGACATGAATAACACAACCTTCTAAAAGGAACTCTGACCATGCCCCCAAACCACAGCTCTTCCACTGTCAGCAGATTTGGGAATACCCATGATAACAGGGAGTTAGGAACTCAGAGGGCTGGAAGTTCAAGGTTCGATTTGTTTTTAAGCCATATATCCTTTACATCTTGAATCTGTTGCTAAGTTCAGTCATTAGCACTTCAAGGAAATCAGTTAGACATGCTTATTAACGTTTAATCACCAAACTGAAGGAAGCTGGGCTTATTTACTTCCATGCTCCTTTGGCTACCTGAGTGCTTTCACTTCAGTTAACATTCACCCTGGAATCATTCCTGAAAGTTACAGACTGTGGTGTTTCTCCAACCGCACTCGGAAAAATAAACTAAAACAATACACCTGAACTCCGATTTCTCTTGGGAAGTAAAGCTTATATTTCACAGCAGTTTTTTTTGGGGGGGGGACAGCAGGGTGGAGACTTGTTTATGTGTGAGTGATACGTACATTGGCCTAACTTCAAAAGAACCACACTTGCAGTGTAGCCCCAGGGGCACCCCCCACTTCTTCATTCTAGAAAGTCTATTTCATGGTTGGTGACCCGTGGGCCTGGAACCACAGAAGAGCACCAGCAAATCAATCATCTCTCTGCCCTCACATGCTACTTCTCCTTCCCCATTCAAGACTCTCCGCCAGGTGTCAAAAGGAGACAGACACACCTTCTAGGTCACTTTCCCCAGCCAGCCTGGGGAGCAAGGCTCCCTGCTTCTACCCATCCTCTGACCCTACTCTCTAAAATGAACCTCAGCCAGGCCTGCAGCTTTTCCACATCACTAATAAGATTCCTTTTATGGTCTTGTGAAAAGCAAGGGGCTGGGGACTGATTCTTGGAGGGTGGAACCACCTGCAGGCCCCTTCCTGAAACTCCAAACACATGTTCAAGGGCAGTCAGTATTCACAGTAAACTTGGGCCCAGCCAGATTAAAAATGTGGCTAACCTCTTTAGCTTAAAGTTCTCCCTAATAGGGGATTAACAAACAAGATAAACTTGCTTTATAAAAATGAAATCCCGCAACAGAAGCACCCCTTCATTCTCAGAGAACTCCACATATCACAGGTTTTTATAAACCCCTTTTAAGGGCATGTTTCTGATAACTGTCTTATCTTCAACACAGGTGAGGGCACTTTCTAAAGGTAGCTCCTGTAAACGCGAGAGCCACCCCAAGCTTCACACACAGCAAGGCAGACATTCTACCCTCTCCTCCCCGGTTGCGAATCACAGCACCCGCCCCTGCGGATAGGAGGCAGCAGAGTACACCCCATCAAAGCACGTGGTGGAGAGTATTCTCCGAGGGACAGAGCTCCCCCTCTCTCCACCCACCCTCCCAGCACTGCCTGGGCCAAGCTGAGGTCTTGGCAATGAGTCACGCCTCTCCGACAGGAGGAACGGGACAGAGGGCACCAACATTTTTCCCCTTTCCTCCCCTTCTGCAATCTCACTCATCTTCATTCCACCCATTTTGGGATGTTGCAAGGGCCTTGCTGTGGGGTCTGCCAGTGGGGGACTAGGCCTCGGGCGGCTCTCAAACTGAGATCACTGTACTTGCACCCACAAACACTGCGTCTAGCGGGCAGCCCTTTCCAAGCCCTGGCACACTCCTGAAGGTTTGCGGGGACCGTGCACCCGCCGGACAAGGGCATACCCCCCGCCCTTCCCGGGGAAGTTTGCAAACACAGCTATTCCGGAGCCCGGGAAACACTGGAAGTTAGGCCACAGGTTATACCGAGCGGGGGCGAGGGCAGGAAGGGGCCGGCAGGGGGCGGAGGCAGCTCGGGCAAAGGCCTAGAGACCCTCCCGAGTCACCCTACCTCCAGTGGCTGCCCCCACGCCCTGGCCCTTTCTCCCAGCCCGGAGTGCGCCCCTACACGCACCAAAATCTCCTGGGGAGCAGCGGGAAACGGGTTCCCTCCACACCCTCCAGGAAGGACACACCCGCCCTCCCGGCCGTTCACGGGAAAGGGGAATGTGCCAATTTGGACGGCGTTCGAAGGCCAAAATTGAGCCGAGTCGCCTTTCACAGCGTTTAATTGGTTAAGCAAAGATCATCTACAATAACCTCTGGCGCGGGACGGGGGGTGGGGGGTTGGTTTACTCTGGGACGCTCAATTTGCAAGTTAAACCCATTTTCCTGGGAGCTTTGCCCCCAAATCTCTAGTACCCCCGTTTTTGTGAGCTGGCAAAAGGCAGCGGGGATGCGGCCTGACGAATATTGCTCCCTAACCACCCCCTCTAAAAAAAAAAGTCCTCAGTGCCGCGTTAAGCCAAAGCTCTTATATCCCTCTCTCAAAGAGAAAGGACTCGGTAAACGCGAGTGCGAACCTCCGCGCGGCCCCCCTGCCTGCGTCGGTCACTTACCGGCCAGGCGAAACTGAAAGGCAGAACGATACGGTTGCGTTCATTGCCGCGACTGGTCTTGAGGTTGAAGGTGTTGCCACCGATGACAGGAGTGGACCCCGAGCCGAAGCTGCAAGGCCCCCCGGCCGTGACGCGGGACTGGTACTCCTTGAGGCACACTTTGAAGTACGTGTCACACTCGTCACGGGTACACTTGCGGTCCCCCGGGTTCCGGGCGCCGCCACAGCAATTCCCGTTCTGCAGCTCCCCGTTCACGTTCTGCATGGACAGGATCTCCAACTCGAATTGACCGGAGGCTCCGCACACCTGCCGGCAAAGAAGGGCGGTCAGCACGGGGGAAAAGTTGTTTTCTTCGAGGGTGGAAGTGGCGAATCCCTCCCTCCCGCCCTGACGAGCTCTCGGTGCCAAGTGAAAATAATTTGACAAAACTGAGCGCAAAGACTCAATGTGGTTCCCGGGCAAAAAAAAAAAAAAAACGAGTGCGGGAGAAACCCGACGACTGCCCGGGATTCGTGAGAGAGGAGCGAACGTGCGCCCCTTGCCCAGCCTGGAAGGTACATTTAGGAAAACAGGGGCTCCCCCAGCCCGGGTGCAGCCCCACCACAGGGGCACGGCCGGGAGCCGGGCGACCCTGGACTCCTGACCCCGCTCGCGGCGCTCAACCGCAGGCATCCTAGGCGTCGCGAGGGAAAAGAGAGGGCGGGCCGTAAAAGTGAGGCCCGGAGGGCTCCTACCTTGGCTCGCAGGGCGCAGAGCAGAGCGAGCAGGAGGCTCAGGGGGCGCCCGGGCCGGCCGTACGTCCGTGGGGACCGCATCGCTGCGCCGCGCGCCGCGGGCACTCGGGACGCCGCCGCCGCTGTTCGCGCTGGTGTTTCTGCCGGTGCTGCCGCCCGTGCTGCCGTCGCCGCTGCCCTTGCAGCCGCCGCGTCCCGGCTCTAATATACTCCGCCGATTGGAGCATGCACGACTGGAAAACAACACCACTTTTCAAAAGCCCTTTCAAGAGCGGCCGGTTCCAGAAGGCAAAGAGCCCGGCCTCCTTTTATTATTCTGATCGCTTCTTTGAGGTTCTCCCCCTCCTTTTCCACCTCCCGGCTTTCTTTCCTTCTCTCGCGCTCCCCTTCTTTTATTATTATGATTATGCGCGGCCTTTTATTCCCTTTCAGATCAGCTGCACAGAGAATGGGGAGAAAAAAAAAAACAACCCAAGCCCAGCTCGCGGGCCGGCCGCAGGTAACACAATGACGCGTGCCCACCCAGCTCTCAGAGAGGGACTCGGAGAGCCCGTCTGGGAGCCGCGGCCCCGGCTGGCCACCTTTACCCAGCGCGCCCGGCAGGCGCATGCGCGTCTATTAATATTCATGAGGGGCGTGTCCACCGGAGACACGCCCCTTCCCCTCTGGGTTGATGGGTAGGGGGAGTACTGGGAGGAACTTGGAAGGAGCTAGGAGGTTCGGGAAACAGCGGACGGCGTAGACGTCCGGGGGCCCATCCCAGACTCCCGCCCTCGGGAGCTTTGGATCAGGCAGGAACAGAGGGAGGGTGCGAGGACCAACTTAGCGGTGTCCCTTGCAAAAGGACGCCCTGGGACCCTATGCACCGACCGCCCCTCTCCAGTGCCTTGGGCCGGACGCCTCTGCCGGCTCGTCGGGGACCCCAGGTGTAGGCGTCGCCGCGCTGTGTGAGCGGTCGGAGCGGGACAGCTTCCGCCCTCCGAGCCGCCTGCGTCAGCTGCGGCTTTTAGGAGGAGGGCTAGCCCGCCGGGAGCCCGGCCCGCTTCCCGCGAGCGAGCCGCCCAGAGCGCGCAGCTGGCGGCAGTAGCGGCAGAGGCGGCGGCGAGGCTGGCGCGCTCGCCGCCGTCTGCTCCACCGGCGGAGGCGACCTGGGCAGGCGCTACTGGGAACTTTGAAAAACTATCCCGGAGCCAGGCTTGCGCCAGATTCGAGGGCAAGCTTCGGGCGCGCCCCGCCTCCCAAATCCAAGTCTGCGTAGCCTAGGAGGGCTTATAGCTTCCTTCCCAAACCACGCCAGGGCAGAAGCGAGGGGAAACCGGGGAAGAGGGCGGCGGGCTAGCCGGGGTCCCTGCTCGAGCTTTGGAAAGGGCAAGGCAAAGATGCTGGTGGGCTTGGACTCGCACTAGTCCAGCCCCTCTACCCTGGCCGCAGTGCCGGGATTGCACTGTAGGCGGCCTCGGAGCAGCTTTCTGGGTGGCAATAGATGGGTCTGGAAGCGACCATCCCCTCGCCATCGCTCTGCAGCCGAACTTGGCTTCTCTGGGGTGGTAGTGGAAACGAATTCTTTTTTCCACTTCGAGTTGAGCCTACGGTCAAAAACAAGGTTAAACACCTGCGGGCTGGCCGAAGCCTCTCAACCCCTCTTCTAGAGAACCTACTGCTGTGTTTGAGGGGACGACCTCTTTAAGGAAAAGAATGATTTACACTCAAGGATGGACAAAGTTTTGGCCTTTGTATTGGGTATGTCTTGCAGAAAAGCGTGACTATTTAGGGACCAGATCCTGACTCGAGTTTTGGGACATGATGGGCTGCAGTGGGTCCAGGGAAAATAGTTTCCAACATTCTGAGATGAGAGCATAAAAGGATGGGTAATTTGTGGTCATTTACTGACTACACTTAATGGGTGGCTGAATATGGACCGTATATTTAGTGCTAGGTTTCATGCAGGGAAATAAGGCAGCTAACTGACCTCTTTACATTTGTTCAAAGCCACCAAGTGTGGTTTAGGAATCTTGGCATTTCATAAACCCAACAAAGGCACCTTCTTAATGGCAATGTGTCCCATCTAGTGCTCATTGGTGAGAGAATTAATTCATATTTTCAAAGAGCCATATCTAAGAGCAGAACAGGTTTGCAGCTGGCATAGGTAGTAGCAACCTGGATATTTTGTCTTAATGTGCTCCAGTCCTTGCTTCCCCCAGTTATCCTAAAAGGCATCCAGTTGTCAACTGTATTCCTATACAGGCTTACTAGTTTCCATAAACTAATCTCCCCACCTCCTGTCTGCCCCTTCTCACCCCTACCCCTAAGTTTCCCAGTTGGGCTGTTGAGTGATGGCTTAAAAGCAAAATGCTTGTGGTGGAAAAAGCACAATTTATGAAGGCTGGTGAAGTCTTAAAATGTGAACTTTGGAGTTCCCATTGCCTGAACCTGTTCTAATTCTGTACCCTATGGCCTATCTCCCCCGCCAACCCCGGACCCCTTCACACCCTCAGGAAGGAGGCTGTGGAGCCAGGCCTTTCATTGAAGAGTTTAGATCCAGCCACCTGACTTAACCGGAGAGGGCCACTTGAGACGCAGGTGCCTCCTGGTAGTAATTTGGGCTGTGTGTAAACTGGCAGGGCAGGGTGGCAGGGGGAGGTTCGGCTCCACGCTACAGGTGAATTTAGCCCCCTTGAATATTAGGAAAGGGAATAGATTTCTCAGGGGTTAAAACTACTCGATTAACAATAACAGAAATATCAAATCCCTAATAAAATTCTCATATCAAAAAGCACAGTGTCACTCATTCTCCCTGAGCTTGGGAACCCACTTTTAGAGAAGACACTTACGGGCTTGAGGGAATTCTTTTGAAAATTTTCAGTTGGGAGTCTTCCAACTAATTGGTACTCCCCCAAAAAGCCAGTCACATTTACCGCAACAGACATCAAGTGGAAGCTCCACTTCCCCACAGCCAGTTCTCAGCCTCCCTCCCTAGAGAATGGGGAACTACTCTGGAAAGAACTCACGCAGATTTGGCCAGGTCACATCCTGCCTTTGGGTATAGCCTGGAGTATGTGAACATTCCGAAAACCATTCCTGTGAAAAACAGCACATTGTACCATCACACCATACCTGTGACTAGAAGATGTAGTCACTTCTGGCCTGTCTCATGTGCTCAAACCATAACCATCCTTGGGAATCCTCTTTAACTTTAAAGAGATGATGCCTCATTTTTCTTTTCCCACAAAGCTTGCCTTTCCTTTATTGAATCATTAACAAGCAGCAGTGCTGAACCCCTCCAAAGACTTAAGAGACATTCAAACTCTTATCATTGTATTTAAGTACATTTTGTCAACTTAAAACCCTGGTTTATCAACACTGATAAAAATCAGCAAATCATTATTTATTGAGGACTATGTTACATTAAACAATATGGATGCTCTCAAAAAGTATACTGACAGAAAGTAAACACAATGACTACATAATGTAAAAATCCATTTATTTGGAGTTCTAGAATAAACAAAACTAATTTACAGTAAATAAAAATTAAAACTGATTGCTTCGGGAGATAGGAGAGTGGAGACAGCTGGGAATGGGCTTTAAGCCTCTTCTGGGGGCAGGGTAATGTTCTGTATCTTCAGGAGGCTTTGGGTTACAGAGGTGTATGTGTGCACTTGACAAACTTTATTAAATGGTACACTTAATTTGTATTTCATTATATGTCCAAAGGAGAATAATGTAATATTAAACGAGTTAATTATGAGTGCTTAAGTATTTATCTTTTAATATTTTATTTTTGACTTTAGAAAGAGGAAGGGAGGGGAAAAGAGAGGGCAAGAAACATCCATCTGAGAGAGAAACATCAGCCTTCCATATGTGCCCTGGGGGAGTGAAGCTGCAACCCAGGTATGTATGTACCTTGACCAGGAATTGAACTGGTAACTTTTTGGTTTGCAGGACAACACCCAACAAACTGAGCCACACCAGCTGGGGGAAGTGCCGAAGTACTTAGAGGGAAGTGAAAAAATATTTGCAACTTGGAAATATGTAATTAGAGGGATTAATGACCAGTAGAGGATGTCTAGATGGATAGATAGATGCTAAAGCACAATAAGTGCTAAAGATTGGATCCACGTGGTGGGAATGCTGGTAATCACATAAAATTTTTTCAAATTTCTCTGTTTGAAATTTTCCACTATAAAATGCTAAGAAAAAATAGTTATTGATATGCCAGGTATTGTGTAGGATGCAAAGAATATGGTGGACAATTCAAAATTTGGGACTTCAGCACCACAGACTGGAGGGCATGCTTGTCTGGAACGATGACAGTGCAGAATAAGGTTCCTTTTCCTCATCCATTTCTTCCTCGTTCCTTTCTTCTTTCCAATAAATAAGAGGAGAAAGTCCAAATATAAGGGACTTGTAAAACATCCTTTGATATCTTCCTTTTTCTTTGTTTGAATATTGCAGAAAAGTTAAGGCAAGTTCATGAGCCCTATTCTACAGAAAAGCAGATGTGATACCTTTCTGTTCTTTTCCAGAAGAACCAAAGGATACTGATGTGTCCTACAAGCTCTTTTTTTGTTAACCACATTATCATGGCAGAAAATGCCAGCCCTAGTAACTCTGCCGAGCCAGCTCCCCAAGAAACCACATCCACCTCTGTGGATTATTTTTCTACATCATCACAAGAAGTTATCAAGAAAAAGGAGACAAAAAGACAACCTTTGGGCAACAAATTAGACACAATTAGACATGAAAAAAGGCAGGATTAAGTTATAGTTCCCACAGCAACCATAACCAGGCCAAAAGTTTATACATTCAAACATAAATTGAGTAGATCCAACCTTTTTTTTTTTCAAAACTTCATTTTACATACACAAGAGATTTGAGTTAACTTTCTTTGGAAACCAGAACTATGAATTTCTTGCATTATCAACAGTAAATTTTGTATGAGCTTCATTTTAAATATTGTTTTGAGCTCAGACGTTTATAATTTTGCCTGTCCTGCCTCAATCCTGTCTCACAGTGATTACATGGAAACCTAGTAAGACAAATAGTTATATGTTCACATTGTCTTTAACAAGCCAATCAAAGAAAGTCACATAAAACCCAAGATGGAAAATTCAGGAACCTTTGGATTTATTTCCTCATTTCATTCCTTGAATTAAACCCTAAGATTCTTTATGAACTTTCATAGTTTTATTGGGGCTGGGAAGAAAAAATTCCAGCCACTTATAAAACGTATTCTTTTCTTTTGATATTAATTAAAAATTCTGGCTGTAAATTGCTGTTAAATTGGTATTCTCAACACAACTGTAAATGATTCACTCACTTTCCTCTTGTTGATAATGTAGAGAGAGGATTGTCAGTTGTGTGAATGACACCTAAATTGACTCGACTTACAGATATTCCAGAACAGCATTTTAAAAAACAAATTGGTCCATTTGTATAGTTGACTTAGCTCAATGCAAGTAACAGTTTTCTATAATTGCAAAGTATGACTGAACTCTCACAAACATTTCTGTCCCCTAAGAAGCTCTGGAAATTACCCATCCAGAAGTAGGGAGCATTGGGGGCTTGTGTCTTTGGAATGTGCTACCCTGACATGCAGATTATTTCAAACTGAAATCAATTAAAGCTGAGCAAACTCAGGAAGCATTATTGTGTTTTTTGTAGGGTTTTTTGTTTGTTTTGTTCTGTTGTGTTGGTGGTGGTGATTTTTTACTTGCCCCTTTTCTTAAAGAGATTCTGAGTTTTAAAAACCTGTTTCAGGAAGGGAGCCTTGGCATAATTACTTTAAGCATTTTCACCTTAGAATTAGGATGACTCCAAGCCTGTTTACTAGCTCACCCCCTGCCCGGTGCCCCTTTGTTTCTGGGCTGCTTAGCAAAAATTTACCTGCAGTGCGCTTTCTACTCTTCCTCAACCACCTGTAAATTGCTTATTCTGACTTCTGAAATCTAAGCCCTGTTCCCCCACTCCAACTTTTTCTCTTTGTCCCAAGTGTCATATACACCCAGTGTTGTCTCATTGTCTATGGAATTTTCATGCTGTGTGAATTTCCCACGCACACTGTATTAAATTTTTTTATTTTCTCCTATTGATCTCTCGCTGTTAATTTGATTAGCCCAGCCAGAAGAATTCAGAAGGTGAGAGGAGAAGGATTATTTTTTTAGGCCCCCACAGAAATGATCACAATAGGATTTACTCCACAAGCACCTTTTCTTCTCATTTGCACTTGGCTTTCTAAACTTGTGCCAACCATAATCTGCCTCCAGATCTTAAAAAAAATCAAAGTAGTTGTTGGAACTTGTGAAAAGGAGAGCTACATAATCAGTTATCTGAGAAAATTTCAAAACATACATAGGTGTGAGAGTCAAAGAAAGGTGATTACACCTGCCAATGGCACAAAAGCCACAGGACTGTACATCCCAGGATTTCATGTTTCAGTTAATGGTTCTCAATAAATTACAAGCCTGTGTCTGTTTTTGACACTTCTGTGCTCAAGCCAATGATTTATTTACTGATGGCTTTCTCAAAATTTGAAGTTATTCAGAATATAAAAAGTGAATGACTGCAATGCTCAATTTTTCATTTGGAAGGTAAATTGTTGTTTTTTACTACTGTTTTTATGCCAAGAGCGCTCAAGGATGGCTAAAGAAACATTAACGTGTGCATAGAGATATTGGCACAAGTGATATCTGTAAATTTCTAGATCCTTAGATATTGCATAACATAGTCATAACATAGGTTTACTGATCACCGATTTCCATAAGCATTATTCAGAAATGATTCCCAAAGTTTTCTTTTGGAAATAAAACTGAGGCATACAAAACTTAGAATGACTGTTAAAGAGAAAGTTTAATTTCTAAAAGATGGTTATTGCTACATGGAAGTGATATTTTTTCAAAGACAGGTAAAAACTAGAGAAGTCAATTATATTATTGTAGGATAGTTTGGCAGTAATTCATGCGAAGAGAAGGTGGGATATTTAATAGATCATATGCGTAATTGCTTTAATAGTGCAGTGTAGCTATGAAGAACAGTACTGTCACGGTCTAACACTCTAGGGCCACAGTCTGAGGCTACATTACTAGAAATCTAAGAGGTAAGCAATTAAGGAAAAATACAGCCTCAGGATATCCTGCAGTGCCCTTTACACAGCTGAGAAATTCGATCAGCTCTGAGAAAGATTTTTTTAAAGGTTTTATTTATTTATCTTTAGAGGGGAAGGGAAAGAGAGAGGGAGAGAAATATCAATGTATGGTTGCCTCTCGTGTGTCCCCTGCCAGGAACTGGCCTGCAACCCAGGCATGTGCCCTGACTGGGAATGGAACTGCGATCATGTGGTTCGCAGGCCCGCACTCAATCCACTGAGCTATACCAGCCAGGGCTGAGAATGATTTTTTAAATAATTGTAGTAAAATAACACAAAATTTGCCATCAACCATTTTAAAATATATTTTATTGATTATACTATTACAGTTGTCCCAATTTTTCCCCCTTTGCCCCACTCCACCTAGTACCTCCCATTGCCTGTGAAAATCCCCCCACTTTAGTTCATGTCCATGTGTCATGCATATAAGTTCTTTGGCTACTCCATTTCCTATACTGTTCTTAACATTCCCTTACCTATTCTGTACCTACCAATTTGTACTTCCTAATCCCTGTACCTTTCCCCCCATTCTCCCCCGTCCCCTTCCCAGCTGGTAACCATCCAAATGAACTCCATATATGTGATTCTGTTTCTGTTCTGCTTGTTTGCTCAGTTTGGTTTATAGATTCAGTGGTTGATAGTTGTGAATTTGTTGCCATTTTCTATGAACTAATGTTCATAGTTTTGGTCTTTTTTTTCTTAAATAAGTCCCTTTAACATTTCATGTAATAATGGCTTGGTGATGATGAACTCCTTTAGCTTTACGTTGTATGGAAAGCATTTAATCTGCCCTTCCATTCTAAATGATAGCTTTGCTGGATAGAATAATTTAGGTTGTAGGTCTTTGTTTTTTATGACTTTGAATAGTTCTTGCCAGTTCCTTCTATCCTGCAAAGTTTCTTTTGAGAAATCACCTGACAGTCTTATGGGAACTCCACTGTAGGTAACTACCTGCTTTTCTCTTACTGCTTTTAAGATTCTCTCTTTATCTTGAACCTTTGGCATTTTAATTATCATATGTCTTTCTGTGGTTCTCTTCACTTCCATATTATTTGGGAATGTGCTTCTGGACTTGTATGTCTATTTCCTTGACCAAATTAGGGAAGTTTTCTTTCATTATTTCTTTCAAATAAGTTTTCAATTTCTTGCTCTTCCTCTTCTCCTTCTGGTTTCCCTATGATTACAATGTTGGTGTGTTTCAAGTTGTCCCAGAAGCTCCTTAGCCTAACATTGTTTTTCAGATTTTTTTTCTTTTATTGCTGTTCTGATTGAATTTTTTTCTTCCTTATGTTCCAAATCATTGACTTGATTCTTGGCTTCATCCACTCCACTGTTAGTTCCCTGTAAATTTTTCTTTCTTTCACATAGTATAAACTTCATTTCTGCCTGGGTCTTTTTTATGCTGTTGAAATACCTAATGAGTTCCTTGAGCACCTCAATAACCAGTGTTTTGAACTTTGAATCTGCTGGGTTGCTTATCTTCATTTGGTTTAACTCCTTTCCTGGAGTTTTGTTCCGTTCTTTCATTTGGGCCATATTGCTTTGTCTCCTCATTTTGGAAGCCTCCTTGTGTTTGTTTCTATATATTAAGTAGAGTTGCTTTGATTCCCTGTTTTAGTAGCATGGCCTAATGTAGGAAGGTGCACCCATGAAGTTGTATGGAGTGGAGCCTTAGGTAATTGCCAGGGAAGGGCAACCCCTTGAACTAGGTTGGTGGAGTCTCAGAAATGGTGCAGCTGCTCTGTGG